GTGTCTGTGAGTGCGCATGTGCACACACTCCTGTTTGTAGCAGCAGCGAGGGGCGGGTATGAGATTAATACAACAACAGGGAAAAGGCCCCTGCGATGGTTGCCATGGTAAATATGGCCCCCTGTCGCGTGCTGGCAGTCCCTTCCTCCCCCTCTTCTCCCCTCTCTGTTCCTCTGCTCTCTACTACTCCTCTCTTATAACTGACTTTCTTGTAATTTCACCATATCTCCTGCTTCTTACTTCATGTTTCTCCCCCCCCCCCAATTCTCCTTTTCCCTTCCTTTTGTCACCCTGCCTCCGTCTCTCCTTCCCTCCCCCATCCTTCCCTTCACGCCACAGTGGCCTCCCCACAGGCTCCAGACAGGGCCCCGAACGCTGCGCAGAACAGGGCGACCTTCAGGCTGACAGGGCCACACCTGGACACAAGCGAGGAGACACAACATCACCGCTGCCCCCGCCATGACCCAAAATCACAACCATGTTATAGGACTTCACTGATGTCCTATAGGTTATGTGATATAACATGATCATTGTCTCACTCCTGGATGTCAACATTCATTATGATCACCCGTTCACTCTGCATACTGAGCACACGCTGTCGTCATAATTACAGTTTTACCCCCAAGCTACAGGCAGCTATATATTCGTAATTACAGTTTTTGTTATATCACTGTAGTGTATTTCTTGATACAGTAAATCCTGATGAACTGTTTTGTTGCTTAAACTGAAACTACAAAACAATTTTAAGGCATATTTCGTCCTGAATACTCTCTGAAACTGAAAATCTAGCTTGATGGTGATGAACAGTAACTGATAGAGTAACTTACTCGTCTTTCAGTGACTATATATGATGATATATTGAGCATAGTTTCCACCATGTGAACACATACTGTATTTATGATACATATTCAAAACTTATTGTTCACTCACTGGCCTTTTCCAGAGCTTTTTGCCATACAAAAGGATATTAAATATGATCAAAAGCTCTGGAAAAAGGTAAGAACCTTGAGTTTATAATATTTCATCTGAGGTAATATTTGGTTTGGTCTAACTTAATCTGTCTGTCATTATCACATGTTCTATAGGATTTATTTTATTGATGGTTCTGCAAGATTACGCAACCCAAAACTACAACTAACATGAATATTATACAAAATGTTGAATATGTCAGGTAAATTATGTTTGATTCTGCCTGCAAAAATGTATAATTTTGGTATATTTCACAAATATATAAGTTTACAATAGAGCTGAAACGATTAGTTGATTAACTGATGAGTCGATGGCAGAAAATTAATCATGAACTACTCTGATAATCCATCATGTTTTAATCAAAAATGCCCAACATTGTTCCAGATTCTCCTGTGTGAGAAATCGCAGATGTTCCTCTGTTTTATATTGTTTGAAACTGAACATCTTTGTTCCCGGTTGTTGGTACAAGACATGAAAAGACGTCATCTTTTTAGCATCCCCCAGCTGAACGATGGTCTCCAAAGCTTTACTGATAATATTGTAGCTCCAAAAACACGCTTTGAACACATCACAAGGGCTAAAAATTAAACTAAATATTTTCATTTTTAACTTAAAAGGGACTTCTGATAGGGTGCTACAGTTAGGCATATTTAACTTTAAATTTTATGATTAGTCACATTTTAAAAAGCTCAAGTCACATAAAACATCACGGAAACAGTCAGGGAAATCTACTGCAATACTCACTTTCATAATGCAGTTTTTCTTTAGACTACATAACACCAATCATGCTAATTTTTTGTTAACATGCCTGCAATTACACACACTGAGCCAACATAACATCCTGGCTTGCTTACACACACAAGCAAAACTACAATAATACATTAAATTTGTCTCAGCATCAGCACATTTGACATTTTTTAGTATCGTCTGACATAAGCCTGACGATTAATTGAGAAAATATTCAATAATAAAATAAGTTGTCAGTTAAATAGGCCTATTTTTGGAGTCACAACCTACAGCAACTGAGTGTAATGACCGGTGCAAATACTACAGTGATAGAGCAGTAATGAGTAAATCTTTTCTGTGCTCCAGGAGCTCAGTTAACCCTGTGGTGAAGTCACTGCAAAGTGGTGCCATTATACACAGCCTTACATCACCCGTTGGCTGGCTGTGGGTCTTCTCACCTCAGACCCCCCCTGTGAAATGTTGATGCTACAACACAGCAGTGTGCTGTGTCATACATGCACAATGCAAACATGCATACATCTCCTAACATGATGCTTTTGGCCCTGTGGTTTTTATTTATTTATTGTCTTATTGTTTTACAAGACAAAGATCACTGAGTGGTGAGCTACATCTACATTACTGAGGAAAAGGCTGAAAAGGAATACGCTGAAAAGACACAAAGCAGTGGCAATGGTGTGTAAGAGCCTGACATAGGGGTGGTAATGACATGATGTGTTCATTTAATTGTGACACTAGGTTAACTAAAGCACGTATCTGATCAGACAGTGTGCACACATCCATCCAGATTCTCCATTAAATCAGAACCAAGACACAAAATGATCTATTCCTGTATTTCCACTGTTATTCCCCCGCCTCTGCACAAACCCAGGACCTGCAGAAATAACCACAGCCTACGAGCTTGTGTGGACCCGATGAACCGGAACGAACAATGGTGTCAGCAGTACTTGCAGGCTACAGAGGGTCTGGGGTTTTTTTGCACCGGCATGTCTCACCTGTCAGGCTGTCGTAGCACTCGATCTCGGTGCTCTCCACGGCTCTCCGCTGCTCCTCGGTCAGCTTGGCGGCGGCTTGGTTCAGCAGGTTGACCTCGGAGCCCGTCGTCCCGTCGACAACATGCACCCCTTTGAGTTGCAGCAGCGCCCGGTGGTACTTGCCGATCGCCTCCCGAAATTTCTTCTCCTTGTAGCAGCGGTGCCCCTCCGCCTTGAAGTCGATGGCTTTCTGGATCTTCGCCTCCATCTCCATTTCAGCGGAGCCGGCTCGGTACCCGCCGCCTCCTCCTCCGTCTCCTCCGGCGGCCGCTGCCAGGCTCCGGCCGCCGGTTTCCGGGTAGCTTTTGAGGCTCTTTATCGGGTGTTGCTTGGCTTCCATGTCTCTCAGTGAGAGCGGCGGCAGCGGGCCATGGTGCTCGGACACGAAGGTGTGTTTCGCTGGAGAGGACCGGAGCAGCGTGCTGTGCATAAAGGATGCGGGATGGAGCGGCAGAGACGGCGGGGCAGGCGGCGGCACCGGAGACACGACGAGCCTCGACACACAGCCTCAGAAAACTGCTTCACAAACGTCCCCGGCTTGTGCTTGAAGAATAAAACAAATTTAAAGGACGTTTGCGGCTATAAAGACACGAATAAGGCTAGAACAGCTGGCACAAACATCCTGAAATCTCCCAACCCGTCGACAAAACACCCCTGATTCTGATTCCTCGCGCTGGTCCTCTCGCGGAAGGATGCTCGAGTGGATTTCTATGGTAGCAGCCTCCGAGGCACGCGCAGCTTCAGCACCACAAACAGCGCACACACGACAGCCTCTACCGCACGGCATTGTGGGAGAAAAAAAAAGAGAAGTCGTGAGGCGTTGCTGCAGTCCAGATTTTTACACGGCACAAAAACCGAGGAAACGTGCAGAAAAATCCCGACACGATCGATTAATTGCCAAAATCACACTGTAATTTAATAAACTAATAAACACAGGTGTGGATTTATAAAATAATACTAATATATTTCCATAACATATCTTATTTGTACATTTATTGGAATATTATGTGAAAGATGCGCCTTTTAACATCATTCACAGTGATAACTCTCCTATTTATTATATTTAAATGATTAATATCCTCATGAAGTGTTACATTACGTCACCCCCATTGTTTGGAAAAGACCTGCCATAACAATAATAATAACAATAATAATAACAGGCTGACACAGGCAGCTTTAACTTCAGTTTACATCACTGCTTTATAAATCACATTATGGCCAAATAGGAGCCTGATGACTTCAGCTGATAAGGTTTTCAAGGAGATGGAGTCAGACGGCTGCAGGGACCAGAGGAGAGGAGGAGGAGGAGGAGGAGGAGGAGGGAGAGAGCGACCTCAAGGGGACATAGTTTAAATTACACTTAACCTGCAGCCCACCAGCCAATCATATTACCTCTGTACAGATTATGCATTATTATTCTCTGCTAAATGATGTGATCTTGGCAGGGCTGCTACCTTGTTTCCCTTACATCTCTGAGGTGTGATTCATCTGGAAAGCCTCACGAGGCTAACTCAGCCCAGACTATCCTCTCGGTGAGTCATGCAAACATCTGTAGTTTCACAGCTATGTTTGCTCCCTGCTTCATGGATCGGACACACACAGTGTATCAGCTTCTCCTGGGTGAACTGTCAGTCTGATTTCAACAAGCACGCAGATAAACATTTATGAATAATTCATTAGGCGGCAGCGAAACTTAAGATATATGCAGGCGTTGGAGTACAAGTAAACACTGACAAAAGCACTATGCTGCCATTCACTCAACGCTGCCGTGATGTCCATATCTCCAGCTCTTCAGTGTGCATGTCAGTCTGAAGTAGCATCACTTAAGCACTGCCAAGTAAAAGTGTCAAAGGCAGGTTTTCTTAGTTTTCCTGCTTGAAACTGAATCTGAAATACTTAATCATCCCTGTGGGGAAACATGTAAATTAAGAACAGTAAATAAGCCTACACAAACGAATGCACAACCCCTGTGGCCCCTGGATGCCGACTATGTGTTGTTTGCAGAGTAAAGAGGCATCCCCCCGATGGAAGATCATTAACATAACACCCTGACAGTTCAGCTGACATTATGCAGCAGCAGCCTCATTGTGAGAGGAGTGGGAGTTTAACGGGTTTATTGATAAAATGATCAGCTAAATGTTCCCCGGGGAAGATAAATATTGACTCTGCTGTCATCTCGATACTCAGAAGAGTTGAAAAGTACATTAGTGACAGTCACATCTCCTTTAGAAAAATAAACTATACAAAAGTAAGGATGTTTGGACCCTTTTCTTCTTTTAATTCATTTCCAAGCACACTTTGTTCAAATTCAGAATTTTCCCCTTTTCTTTTTAAAAAAATCAGGGTATTTCATGATGTGTTTTTTACCTTGTTTTTTAAGACAATAAAAATTCCTTAATGTGATTTTAAACATTTCAAATATTTACAGTGTAGCAAAGTTCTGATGTGAAGACAGACCAAGATACACCGATCAGCCATGACATTGAAACTACAGGTGGGTTACGTGAATAACACTGATCGTCTTGTTAAAATGCGATGTTCTGCTGAAAAGTCTTGGCTCCTGGCGTTCAAGTGGACGCCACCCTAACACTGTTGCAGACCAAGTGCACCCACTCATGCCAATGGCCCCTAAAGCAGGACAATACACCATGCCACACTGCAAAACATGTCCTGTGTCCATGGCTTGAAGGTCAACCGTGGATCAGACTTGGCTCTGACCTGCTGGAGCATGGACACAAGACCCCAAAGATGCTTGATCCATCTGTGTTTGGGTGGGTGGTGTGTGTCAAGTAGCATCCATATGAACACCGGGACTCAAGGCTTTCCATCAGAACATTGTAACCAGATGATCAATGTCCACCTCACCTGTCCGTGGTTTTAATGTTGTGCCTGATCGGTGTAGTACACAGGTGTTTATGACCCACACTGGGTGAAGGTGAACTCCCTACCGAGACCTCCAGTGGCCCCCTGACACCAGGCCCGATGGCATCTCTGAGTTTCTTTACATGGATACATGTTACAAGAATGTCCACATAGAAAAATATGCAGCAGAACTGGTTCTGTGCTGTGTGAAACCAAGTCTAACAAATCTATACATTGCATTTCAAAATAAACAATATTCTACTGACCCGGCCTTCAAGTAGGTGGTTATAGAAAACGTTCCTTTAGTTCAGAGGTGAGAACTTCGACTCCACAAAGCCCAGAAGAAGAAGAAGAGGAGGTGCAGTGCTTATTATCTTGATTCAAGTGTTCAGAGAGGTCGTTCTGTGTAACCATCTGAATGTACTTTTTTCATCACAAGTCTGGGGCTGAAATTAAGAAGCCATTTCATGAACCTTTTTTCTACTTTCCAGACATGAGAGAGGAGGTAATTTTGAGGTGGTAAAGGTAACAAGAGGAAATATTCAACCATCATGGCTAGTCTTACGTCCCACTGCTGTCCTGTGTTGAAGAATAAACTTATATTGCCTGAGGTGTGGGAAACACATCTATCTGTACCTTCAACATCAGAATTAATTCACTTTTAGGCAAATATCTACTAAATGACCACGTAATTAATCTTAGAGGAATATTTTTAAGCACTCAGCTCTATTCATTACGGAGGACCGTCAGAAGAGGGAAGTTTAGGCAGCAGCATCCTTATATGCGGAGTTACAGGGTAAAATTAAAACCACCATTATGGCAGCTTGGTTGACGTCATGCTCATGCCTTAAGCTCACAAATATAGTTAAATACATATCATTTTTTTAAAATGATGAATGGCAGATATGACTGAGACATGACAAATAGCTTCCTGGTTGAGAAACATTATCTGGTTGAGCAACATTATACACTGAGGGATTTCAGTCTTTAAAGTAAAAGCTTGGACACTAAAACAAAAGTGATTTTCCAATGGCAGCATGACGTAAGTGTAAAAAAAAAACTATCTATGTTTATCTAAGCATAGCTCTAAAGCATCAAAGCAGCATTCTAACCATCCATATACTCGGGCTAAAAAAAGTAAAAACACTCCAATCTGCAGTCCTGCATGTCGCTAGGATAAATGCAAAAAACGTGGTGATACAAATTCTATAAAGGACGCATAGAAAGAGTCTGAATAATGTTTAGGGATCTGTGTGTTAGGTTCTCTTGCTGCCCAGTCTCTTAAAAACACTGATAGCCCCAATGTCCATCTGGGCACACAGAGAATCTCCTCCCCCTCCTCCTCCGCCACCGCCGCCAGTGCTGCTGGTGACCTTGGAGCTTGCTATGGTCGGCCCCTCCTGGGCTTTGGGCCTGGTGCTGGTCACTCTGTTGTCCTGTGTGTCAGCAGGTGTGGGTGTCACAGCGGCACTCAGGTGTGTGGCAGGGAGCTTGCCCAGTCTCTGAAGCACGCTAACCTTTGCAGGGGGGAGGCCATTAGGGGAAGAGGAGGAGGAGGTGGGAGTGTCAGAGGGAGGTAGTTTAAATTTGCCTCCCAGGCGCCGCAGGGTAGTTGAGGCCGGTTTTGTGGCTGGCTCTCTCTTCTGGGAGGGAGGAGGTCTCTTGAGGACACCAGCATACTGGAGGACGGAGCCTTCTCCGTCACTGTCGTCCTCGTCATCTACATCCATGTTTCCAGCCATTTTGCCTGGCCTTGGCTCGTCTTCCTCTTCATCCCCTCTGCCAAGACGACTGAACACACCGGTGGGCTGCCAAACATGAGCATTATAGCATCTTCATGTCTGCATCCAACATAATACAAAGGGAGCTATTAGGATATACTGACAGCCCTCACCTTGTTATTGCTTGTTGTTGTGTCTGCCTTTGATTCAGCCCCAAGTCGTGCAAACACAGAGGTGCGTTTCAAACCTATTTAAGGAGCAGAGCAAAAGTTAATGCACAAAAATTGTAAAGGCTTGACTGTGACAGTAAGTGTGGTTCATGTGTTGATTACTCATTAGCGATGGAGAAATAATTCACATCATCCTGAACACACCAGAAGACAGAAACAAAAAAAAATCTTACATTATTTTAAAGACCCAAATACACCAAACCAACATTAAAGAACTACTGGCAAGAAGGGCCAACTGTTGTGTTGCCTCACGTTGCCTGTGGCTCTGCCAAAAACTTGCACTTGAACACAACGCAAAGGTTACAGCCAACGGCCAACTAGCACGCACGTTCTACATGCATGTGAGGAAATATCTCTCCATACCAGCAGGTGACGGTCAAGAAAAGAGAAACTAGCAGGATGGATTAAATATGCTAATTAGCCAGTTAGCACACTAACAACACAACCCGATGCTGAAAGAACAAAGGATATTTACTGTGCACTAGTGAACAATAACAACAAACCATTGCTGCTAAAGAGCTGAATGGCTAAAAACATAATCTTACTTTATATAACAAGCTTTTTTTGATCTCACGCCCTCTTGGTTTTAGTCGTTTTTGCTTTCCTCACTTCTGTTTCACTTCTCGAGCACTGAGCTGAACTGCCAAACAGACAACGACAAGCTCTGTCGGTTCTACTGCCAATTCAACATAGTAAATTGAACACAAAAGAAAATCCAAAAAGGGCCGCCTAGTGCCAACGGAGCTCGGGCAAAAGATGCTCATCAACGGCCCAAAGTTGACCGACATCCAACTGTCTGCTTGGTGCGTCAGGGCCCTGAGACAAAACTGCTGACAGTGCCAGTTGTGCAACTGTCTCTTACTTTCACATTTTACATGTTTTTTAGGGTTTTACTAAAATGAGCTCCAAATGTATTGAACAGTTAGCAGCTCCTGTGTTGTACAAGATCACAGGACTAACACTTACTGTAAAAATCACAAGTTAAAAGAATAATTTATTTTCACAAGCCAAAGCAGCAGCTTCAACTGAGCAAAATTTCAAAATCGTAAAACCTACACTGTATCATTTACTGTACCAAAGATTTAAGATTTTGGAATGATTATTCAATAACCATGAAATAAAATGAACTTTGTGAGGGTTGTAGATCTTCCTATTTATTCGCATTTGACTTCAACTTTTTTTTTATGTCTATGCATGCACAGTGTTGAGAAATCTGGCTTTTATTTCGAAACGTCTAACCAGAGGCCCTAGCTTTAATGCCAGCTGTCTTGTACTTTGCTGTACAATTTTGAGTTCCTGTTTAGAGAATTACCTTGAGATTCCCGACGACAGAAAAGCATTTAAAACCCACTGACAGAAGGCAACCCAACACAGAGCACAGAGAATTTCTCTCAAGTACTAAATATGAATAAATATGAGTTTGCAGTGCTGCAGATCTTTTCAGAGACAGAACCCACCGGAGAATTTGTGTCATAGAAAAAAGAGACCATAGTCAGAGACTTTATGGTCGGGTAAAATGTAGGTGATGTGAGACAAAGGAGAAAACAAGCACAGTTAAAGAGAGGGAATAATCGCTGGTGCAGTGGGAAGTATCAGCAAAGATGAAGGATTAAAGAAGGACAGAAATGAAAGGCCAAACAGGCTCTGTTAATCAGCGCTGAGTCACCTGATTCAGGTTTAGTATGATAGAAGTCCATGAAAACTTTTAGTATTGATTAGCTGAGGTGAGCAACAGCATTACTGGAGCGAGTTGTCGGCGAGGCCACTGGGTCAGGCCTACCTTTCTTGGCCTGCTGGGCCAGGATGCGGCGTGTACGAGGCGTGGTGCCTTTGGGCATGTTGATGATGTACTTGCCTTCCATCTCAGCTGTCACGCGTCGGCGCTTCACTGCTGGCAAACCGTTCCCCTCATCAGCTGGCTGACTTACAACTGACAAACAAAGCGGTGGGTACACGAGGATTAAAGGGATGTAAAAATAAGACAGGACTTCAGAGGGTCAGGAGATGAAGGATTGATGAGGTGAAAAGAAACTTTCCACATCTACCTGTTTTGCCACTCTTGTTTGCTTGCATGTTGGACACTGTGACCGAGAGGCGGTTGTCAGGTCGACGGGCTGGAGTGGCTGGCGGGGAGTCATTGCTCAGAGCATTGGCAATCATACGAGTGGCGGCTGAGGAAAAAACAGCAGAAACATTCTCAAGTTGTGATTTAGCTTGTTGCCTAAAGGAGCTCTTGATGTTCGCCAGAATAAAATGCTGGCATTGTATGTGTCTGCAAACCGCAGATATGTAACATCTGTAAGTTTCCTATATACTATATTTACATTTCTAAAGTGACATAGTTCAGATGAAATGTATATGAGCCGACTTTGTCATCAGGAAGAGGATGGCGTGACGAATAGGTGAGACAACAGCCTATTAGCAGACATGCCAGAATTTAAAGCATACGTAGAAGAACATGTTGTAAAGAACTGAAGTAAGTCTTGTACAAAATGGCACTGGGGCCAACAAACTAAGCGGTGCAGTTTACTCTGGTAAAATTAGATTACTCTGATTTACATTATCTCCTAATGGAAGCAATTACCCTTTGATATGCCATTTTACCTGTTGTAATAATGACAAATACAGCTGGTAAAAAATTTTTTGTACAAATTTAGCCTCCTTTAGGCTATCGCTCATAACAAAACCAGACAGAAAATATTTCTCGTCCTCCACATGGTCAGTTAACATGATGCTCTTACTGCTCAAAGATCCTGTATGTTTTCAACTGAACTGATGACTCCCACTATTAAACCCTTGGGTTTCTGGTTTTAACCTATTGAGAAATAGGTAATACATATTCGCCATGGTTGAAAGATGCCTTTTTTGTCCACCTGCCACTGTGGCTAGTGGATTCCAAAATCTACCAGCCACTCAGTAGATGACATTGTATTTTTGGCTGATGAGTGACGCAAATCAAGCAGCCACTTGCATATTTTACTAGAATTTTGCTGGTGGCTGGTGCTTATTTCCAGTCTCGTTAGATGTGACACTCAAAATCAGTTTTACATTGTGATGTTTTGGTGCTGTTTAAAACTAGTGAAAGCTCAGTGAACATGAACAACCAAACAAAGCTGTAAATACTTTAGAGTGGTACAAGTTTCAAGAAATATACTACATACAGTGATGACAAAATGGGTAGACCATGTATGTTGCTCCACGCGTAAGACATAAAACATATTTTACATAACATATTTTTTATTAAATACCGGTAACTTAGTGTGGACAACAGTTGTTCACAAAGTTGTGTTGAAATGACACAACTACAAAATACTCTATACCAGTGGGATTAATATTCAACACACTTTTGCTGGTTGACTAAGTCGAGAAAGTGTGACACCTTACGCAGCCATTCTCCAGAACACAATATTCATTCTGCAGTGAAAAAGACATGCCTAGTGGGCCAAATCTGATTTTTCCTGATATCTTTACATTTTTATGCTTCAGAGCATACTAGATATTTTCCACGCCTCCAGTCATCATCAATAAGCACCAACCTCAAATGGTCAGGGTGAGGTAACATTTAGTGCATTTGTACATGTTATGAAACACCAACGAATGTCAGCAGTGTCATAATATCCAACCAGAGAGACATTATGATACCAACATATTGATTTTTTACCCATCCCGTTGGGAAACTTTCTATGACATGTATGAAATGTCGGCCTCTTTGATTTAATTACTGCAGGCATAGCATATTGTTGTACTACTTTTGACACCCTTTGCTTCCGGCTAAGCTGATAAATAGGTTGCATGGTTCTCTCACTACAATAAAGCAACTTAGTACACTATTTTATTTCAAAAAGGTTTAAACCATGGAAAATGCACACTTGGTCACTCATTCTGTTGTGATCCTAAACTTTAATTTAAAATAAATAACTATAATTTATAACATTAAAAATTAGTCATAATGTTTAAGATGTAAAAAATTAAAACTTACGAGTATTGGCAGTTCTTCTGAGCTCAGCTTTAACGCTGGTCTGTCCTGAGGAGATGGCTTCTGTGGCCATTTTGCACATGTCCTGCAGAGGGGATACGCATTACAAAGGTTATGTAAGCTCACAGTACTGCTGCAGTGGATTTGAAAGGCATCCATTTTCCATTACTGCATTCACAACAATAGTGGAGATATTCCAGTGCCACTACATGTCTCCACCAGTGACTTTACACCATCCATTTTCAACATTTAAATACTTCAGAACATGATAAGGGTGAAGTCTGTTCTCACCTGCCTGTAGACCTGCTTGGCATGTTTAAGAATGGCAATGATGTCGCCGATGACTGTGATGCCGAGGTCCATCATGATGTCTTTACTGAGGTCCATCAGCATGTTCTTGTGAATTCTATAGTGACATGAATATTTAGTAAATACTGTGCACTTCTGTTCCCTTGGTCCGGATTAGGAAAAAAGAGTGTACTCTTGTCTATTAGTTTACAGTGACCTACTGCAAACAAATTAAGAGTTGTAAACCAGTCACATGGACTAACAGATACATTATTCACAGTTTTAATTCTGTCACAACTGTCATAATGAAAACATGAATTAAAAAACTATTTTTTTATTGGCATTTTTTGTTGGCATTTTTGCTTTGGCTCTGACAGGACAGAGTTCCCGCATGAAAGAGGGAGAGAGAGCAGGACATGCAGCAAAGGGCCAGGGGCTGGAATTGCACCGTGGCTGCTTTGGCAAGGACACAGCCTTTGTATGTGGGGAAACCTGCTCTGCCCGCTAAACTACTGGGTGCCCCAAACTCAGATTTTTTTTAAATTCATAAAATGTCAAATTATTACATTACTGTTCTCCAAATACAAGGGAACCCAGCTCAATTCATGGGAAAATGCTATATAAATAGCAGTTTTAATCGTTGTCTGAAATTCACATTGTCTTTATTTTCCCTTAACTTAAATGTACTTTGGTTTGTGGGCTCCTGAGACACTGCTATGCTGCCTAGGTTCCTGGTTTCTGCATCTTATCACCAGTGAGGAAGGATGAGAGCAACGATCCAAACACAACTCATCCCCTACGTTTCTGGTGTCAGGTTTTCATGATTAAGTTGGGAATCATCATAAGTTTTGTCTTCATAATTAACTTCTTATGACTGAAATCAGCTTATTGGGATGACACGCCATGGATGATGAAAGAGACTCATTGCCCGTTAATCAATTGTCTTTCAGCTCTGTTACGGTCTGATGTGAGAGTACAAACAAAATTCCCATGATCACAGCACAACACAGAGTGGCTAAAGTGTGCTGTACAAAGCCTATGAATAAGCGCGTTAGGTTACCTGTTGTCCACGAAGGAGACTGCATAAGTGACTGCCAGGCCGGCTGGGATCCCAGCATCCTTGAAAAACTGAATCCACTCTGAGGTGGCTTATGAAAAAAAAAATAAATAAAAGACTGTTAGCACACAACAACAGATTAAAAACACTCTCAACCACTAATATGTTTATATAAAACCTCAAACAAAAAGCTGCAACTAATGAATACTCCTTTCATCTCGTACTATCACAATACCAAAACCCAAAGTTTCATCCTCAGAGTAACGTTACTTCTTACGTCTGACCACAACCTGAAGCCAAATATATAATTGAATTCACAATAATATAAAACAATGAAAAGGAAAAAAAAGTCCACTCATGTAACAGTAACAGTAAGTACACAGGCCTCTTCAAAGTGAACAGAGTCAAGTTATACTGTAGATGACTGCTCCCAGTAGTACTGTGGAGTGAGAGAGGGGTCTGGCACTAGACACCAGGGGGAAACGTAAACCCGAGCGGACAGCAGCATGCTGAGGTCTAACACTTACTGACCACTGCCAGCTGGAGGTTATTTATAACACCAATTATGATGCGTCTTGTGGCTGGAGTAACAGATACAGGGTGAAGGGTGCACAACAGCTGCCAGAACAATGGCTCTGTCCAACATGCTTTCACTGCTACTGATGAACTCAGACAGACGAAACTCACACGGTGACTAAAACATCATTTAACACTTAGCCATGGGAACCAAACAGAACCACAAATCGTAGCCCAATATGTTCTATTAAAAGGCATTACAAAAATCTATAGATAGATTTAAGGAACACTGTGAATCGGGGGTGAAATGTAAAATCTATTATAGATTCAGTGCTGATTAGCATGTTAGCATAACGCGATGATGTGGCTAAATGAACCCACACCAAAATTAAAACAGACAGCAGTTCAGAGCTCGATTCCCCATAGACGCCTCATTAAATTAACATTAATCAACGACTGTGAAATCACACGTTAAGGGAACAATACAGGTCCGGTATCAGAACCGTTTGTGTTAGCATTCGGCATTAGCATTAGCAGCTATGAATTAAAAGGCGCTGTCGGCTAACTGACACATCCGCCACGAGCTAAACCCGCTGTAAAAGCTCCGGACAGGTTTCAAAATGGACGCAGCAATCGTGTCTAACTGACAGTGAGCACAGAAATATTTTTACTGTTTCCAAGCGGTAACATTGCCTTGCCGGGCCTTTCTGCTCTCACCTGTTGTCACGGACGCCATGTTTACAACAGAATGTGTGGTGACGTCAGCTACATCCGGACAGCTCGCGCTGCTCCCGTGACGCCATATCCGCCCGAACCACAGGCGAAGTTTTATTCATGGACGCTAGAGAGCAACACAGACCGCAAACACACACAGACAGCACCATGAGCAGTGAGTCATGACCATTTTCTTCTTACTTGTTCCAGTAGCTGTGTGTTTGAAATCCACTCTTTGACTGTAGGCCACCATTTAAACCTGCTATGACTAATTATTGCAGCCATGTACCTACCGTTCAGGCTACTTGTTTGCTAACAGTTGCTAAGTGGGGGTAGGAGCACTCACATCCTTTGCTCACAGTAAGTAAAAGTAGAAATACTATACTCTATTACAAGTAAAAGTCCTTAAATTTAAAATGTTACTTAAAGGTTCAGCGTGTAGGTATATTAGCAGAAACGTGATATGACACAATAAGTGGCCTCTGTTGTCTTTAGCATATAGCTAACATCTAAGTGGCAACTTTGGGGGCTGAAAAATGAAGCCAACCAAGGAAACTATAAAACAGGGAACGGTCTTGGCAACGGTTACAGTGTTCCAGGGGCCAAACTTTGGTGCCAGTTCTATTGTCAGTGGGGTGGGCAAAGCAAATCACACTTTGACCCAGCATATCTTCGTTCTTCATTTTTTTTACTGAAAGATCCCTCCACCAGATTATTAAACACATATTACATGGTACTTACTGGTTTTGGTTTTTTTTTTTTAAATCTAAATGTATACTTTCGTTTTTCTTGTTCTTGGTCTCCAAAGAGATCGTGGCTCTGTCCAGCAGAGGCTGAGATGTAGCTGCTAGAGCTATGATCTGTTTTAAGACCAATAAGAAGGAAAGCAAACACAGCTAACAAAGCATAATTTCAGTAAGCATCACATAATGTGTTTTTTTTTTAAATCTGGTGGAAGGATCCTTCAATCAAAGTTCAAACAACAAAGATATGATGGGTTACAGTGTGATTTGCCGTGCCTGCCCCATTGACTCCAATAGAACTGGCACCAAAGTCTGGCTCCTCAAACACTGTCACTGACCTTTGACCTTTCCTGCTTTTATAGTTTCCTTGAAGCCAATGTGCAAGTGCCAAAAACTGCAGTTCTTTGAATGTGTTCATGACAACTTTACAGGAGTGATTTTTTTCAGAACTCACCTGTTTACATTTTATTAAGGCCTAAAGTTACACATAATAAGGGACAGGCTGCTTTGAGTGACAGGCTGTCTGCTGACACTGTCCTTGGCTTCTTAGTCAGATCCACCCCTCACTCCTCCACAGCACCAGCCTCTTGCTCAAATATCCAATAGTCACATTCTGGCTCCAAAAAACAAAACAAAATGGCAACTCCTAAAATACCAAACTCTAGGCTTTAAAAAGGGAATCCACAAACCACTGGGTGACATCACAGTAGCTACGTCCATTATTTTTACAGTCTATGGTAATCATCTGAAAATAAGAATTGTTTTGTTTCTGTCAGCTTAGAATGAGCTGTTTATTTCGGCATAGGGAGCAAGTCCTTGTCTACAAAGATTCCCAAGTTGTGCTGCCATGTTTTAGCTCTGAACAAAGCAAACACTGGTTCTAGACTGGGTTGTTCCCATCTTTGCTCTTCTCTCCCCCACTATTCAGCATTTTTCACTGGTTTAAATCACCTGGTCTGTTTGTTCTGGAGAGAAAGAGACCTCACTGGATAATTCAGCTCCCACTAAAAACCTCCTGAACAATGAACACTGAAGGAATTCTAACTTGGAGAAGTTTCAGCTGGTTGCAATTTGCAATCCTCACCAATAGATGCCACTAAATTCTCCTAAATCTTGCACACTGTTCCTTTAAATAAACATACAGAAGTATTAGCTGTCAGTAAAATGTAGCATACCTAAAGTATCACAAGCAGGCTACCTATTATGTAGAATGGCTCATTTCAAAGTATTGTATTGTTACAGAATAGAACATTATCCTGTTCTATCACTAACAATTGCATCCAAGAATATTTCAATATTGTAATATGTCAGTGTGGAGCCAGTTTTCAATGTTTTGTAGACTACTAGCTTAGTAGAACAGCACTGCATCGTATCAAATAACCATGTCATATTTTTTGATATAGAAACTAACTATGCATGTCAAATAAATGTAGTGGAGTAAAAAGTATAATATTTCCACAATAAATATAGCGGAGTAAAAGTATAATGTCACATAAAATTAAAATATTCAAATATTTCAAAACTGTAACTTTAAGTACAGACGCCTACGTGAGTAAAGGTGGTTTGTGACATTCCACTTCTACATTTAGTGTCATATTTCTGGTCTCTTGAAGAATGTAAGTAACTACAATCACTCTCCTTTTAGCTGGAAAGGGAAATACCTGGTTGCTTAAGGCTCAACTGTGTCAGCTAATTACTAACTTTGCTTGTTGTTGTTGTTGTTGGGCAGGTAGCTTATAGTTTGCTTTTTTTGCTGAAAAAAATACTGCTGCAGTTACATTATGTACAGGATTTATAAATTAAAATAATGACTTAAAAGCTGCCAAAAAGATCTGTAGAGCAGAGGGGGGATATATCAAGTGATAAAACTCAGTGAATTAATCACAGTGACCCTTTTACACATAAACAGGATCCAATGTTAAAATAGAAAATATTGCTTAAAGCCACTTTAAATAAACAAATTCTTGCATTACTATACATTTTATACGTAGCCTAAATGTAACTCTAAGACTTGCCAGTTAATGTTTTGCCCCTGCTTTGTTTGTCTGAGTGTATTGTTAGTTTTGAAATATTGTTGTTTCCTGTCTTGATTGTGCAGTTTGAAATTTGCATAAAAATAGGTGCTGCCCACTTATGTGTGGGGCTTTTCATACTGAATAACTTATGCATCTCACATTCCAAAGAATTGTGGCATTTTCAAAATTTTCTGACATTTAAAACAATGACTCTGTTATATTCAGCAGATTAAAAGATAAGGAAAAAAATCATGAGTTGCAGTCCTAAAAACATCTACATACAAACACATGATCACTTGTAGTCTCAGCCTGACTAACCAAGATGATAACTGACAGTGCAAAAAACACATACACTCACAAAACACTGTGCATATGTCAACGAGAAGGTCAAGCATTTAAAAAACAATAGACATGTGCCTCATAATATGTAGTTTATTTATGTAATTTCTTCACAAATTGGAAATAAATGGCATTTGGTCAAACCATTAAAGGAGACAGCTTACCCAGCTTTTTCAGTCTAGAAACCAAGAAAAAAACCTTTTTAATGTAAACTTTTATAAGACAGCAAAAAGAGCCCAAAGCTGAAATATGGACACAGAAGGTCAGAGAGCAGTGACTGCAAAAAGCAACATGGCAAATTTGTCACACTTTGGTCCTCTTCAAGAGTAAAAGCAAATGAAAGTGAGGTTATAAAAGTAAGTAAACTTTATAGTGATGTGCAGAAAACTAGTAAGCTGTGTTGAATTATATGCACTGAAACACTTTGATACCAGAGCACCTTCATGAGCGAGTTATGTAGTCATCTATGCACCCTGAATTATATTTGTCTTTGAGTCTGACAGTGTCACATCTAGAGCAAGGTTTCTTTGAGCCTTTTGCTCAAAATGTATTGAAACATATATCCTCCATTTCCAAACATGACAACCTTTACTCCCAGCGAAAGAAAAACAGAGTAAATAGTTACAAAGATTGATGAAACATTGATAGGCGAAATGGATTTGAAAAGAAGAATTGGCTTTTTGAAATGAATGAACCTTGCTAGTGTCTCTGCACATCATTACTTAAAAAACAAAGATATTTTTTAGATAAATTGTACTATAACTTCTTTATGAAGATTGTCTGAAGCCCAAATGTTATGATATTGTGGATAACTTTTAATATTGTAACAAAAGAAATTGATAATCAAAGCAATACATCATCACACTTGACATTTTGTAGCAGTCAGTTTGAGCACTGCGTGATTCGCTACATTATGTTTATCCAAGAGGATAATAAGTATTGCATTTCATACCAGGGAAAATATGAAATCAGAGCGCATATGGGACTTGTGGAAAAATAGGAATACATAGCAACATTCACCTCATCATAGAAAAATAGGAAAGCTCTTGTTTAGTTAATGCTTACATAGCCGTTGTACAGTACAAGTAGGTGCAGGCAGTTTCTCTGTCCAATAACTAGTAGCTAAATACTTCTCCTTTTCCTTCTATGTCGCCTTTTCCAATTCATCTGCAACCCGTTGGTGATTGTAAACTTACAGGAAAAAATGATTTAAAGCAAATTCAAGCCAAAGGAACTAGATGAAGGAATGAGACAAATGTGTTGTGTGGTGATCTGGGGCATTAAGTGTGGAGTGCAGGTACAGTACAAGGGCCCTCTTAGATCTGTTTATCACACTTAAAGATGTAGCAGGCAATTGATATTAAACCATAATAAAATCACAGAGTGATTACTGGGCTCTCAGAGCTTCAGCTGCTGGGAATTCACTGTGTTATTGGCTTCCATTCTGAATTAAACGTCCCGATGAGACAAGCAGTGCGTTAATTGGTCTGGAGCCTCAGCAACAGCAATGTGTAGCCTTCCACCATACAATGTGAAACTGCCTCGCTGTTATAGTATACTATAAGTAGCACCACAAAAACCTATGTACATGAGAACTATAGTGAATATGTTTTATGCTTATTCTGACTCCAGAACATATTCTCATCACATTTGCATTTGGAGAGAAATCAAAAGGCATCTCCAACATCTGTACAAACACAGTCCTTATTCAACATTTAAAAAAACTGAGGTCTGCCCATTTTCTGACCACCGAGAGCCACATCTGAAATTTTAATATCACAAATTTATACCATTAATCTGGCTGTTGTTTTTGAATAAACATGTTTATTTATTGAAAATAAACCTTCTTATCCAGCAAATACAATCACAAGAAATGTTAATCTCAATTAGACAACATATTTGCTCGAGTACAAGAATGGATTAACATGGTTATGTTCATATCGAGGCTAAAACTGCGATTATCCTT